AATATCATAAAGCCTGCCATTTGAAATAAATAAATAATTTGTGAATTATTTAAGCCTCAAGGTACTCTGATTGGCATTTGATTGCGTTTTCAGATGTCTTGGTCTATTCTCATAGGTGCTGAAGAATTTGTCCATGGGAATGTGCAGCAGCTTCTCATACAGGACCATGGCCTTCTCTTTGATAAGGGAACATATTGTGGTGCTTCCTGTACCTAAGAGCATTGCATCAGTGGGTGTTGATAATATCCCTCTAGTTATTAGTCGTAATGCTTGGTTGTGCGTCTTTTTGAGTGGTTTGAGAGTCACCTCTGTGGATGTAATGAGTGGCGGTCGTTCGAGAGTCACCTCTGTGGCTGTAATGAGTGGCTCACAACAATAAAACATTTTTGGCTGAATAAACATCTTGTAAGTGGTGTTGAAACGGCTGAATATTTCACAGCAATACAACATTATTGACTGAATAAACATCTTGTAAGTGGTATTGAGAGTTGAGCGCGCACAGCCCCATACGCCACCAGCAAGACGCTCCAGTACATTCAGTCTATTGGCGACTGGTTCTGCTATTTTAGTAATGCACAAAGTAAGCACTTGATGCCCGTGACTGTCTGTACCAACTCGGATATGTCATTGATGAAGACATTGAAAAGGGTGCCGCTTGCGACAGCTCCCTGTGAAAGGCCTATCTGTAAAAGATTGGATTTTGATGGAGCATTTCCATATCTAACTTTACATGATCTTATTCCAATGAATGCTTTTATCCAGTTTAGCATGTTATGCTTAATACCAATCTTTGCCAATTTTAGAATTAGCTTCTCTTTCCATACTACGTCATGCTAATACGAAGTTGACTAATACAGCTGTAAGGGAATTTCTTGCATCAAGGGCATCTTTGATGTGTTGAGAGAAAGTGGCTACTTGTTGTTGATGTCAAACGGCTGACTTAGTGATACTTTGCTGGACAGAAATTTGACTTCGGGCTTCATTGAGAGGAGTAGCATCAGCAACTATTAGACTTTAGGATAGTTAAATAAAGCCCTTTACTTTACTTCTGACTTTCTAATATATCTGAATTTCTGTTGTTGTCTCTAGAGCTGGCCTCGTAGCAAGTGGGTCATTTTCATTTCCCCCTGTAGATTACATTGAGGCCATGTTAATTGAGCATATTCTCATAAAATGCAAGTGTGCTTAGCCAGACAATCGTGATCGGTTTGCCGTCTTAACACTGAAACGTAATCGATTCTTGGTCAGTCGATCATGTTGGAGATTGTTGGTGTTCACAGATTCTCCAATGTTCGGGTTATAACTTCGTTGATTCCTGAACTATCTTTCCATCAAGGTCGTCATTTTGTAGAATAACATTGGACGATCGGTAGCTTGCAGAATTATGGTCCCCTCCACAGCTAGTATGTCATGTTGGGAACGATTGTTAAAATATGGTTTTTATTTTAATTGAATGGTAGCTATGAAATTTGCTCATTCGTGTGCTACAGCTGTTTGTGGTGATTCTTTGTTTCTAGTTAACGGTAGAGCTGAATACTAGACCGAAGAAATTACTGCGTTTGAGAACTTTGTTACCTGGCAGCAGCAATCGGCTCAATAACCACCTTATTGGCCTCTATTTCCAATTTGAATGAAGATCTGTTTTGTCATTTTCAGAGTAATCTAGCAAATCAGAGTTATAAAGAGAGTAGGTTATTGACAGGGCGTTTCACTTTTCCACTTTACATGATCTCTGACTTTTAAGCGCCATTATCCAGTTAAGCATTTTTTGTCCCATACCAAAATTCACAATTTGAGTATTAACCTGAATTTCCAGACTTGACATAGGCTGATTTGAAATGAATGTACACAGCTTTAAAATTTCTTGTTTCAGGCACAACTTTGATGTGTTGAGAGGACGTGAATACTTGTTTACCAGTTGACCAATCAATTGAAATAACAGTACACCCTAATATATTATTGAATTCATAAAAATGGAAAGCGAACTAAAGATAAAGGTACACATTGTGTTCCCTATCCTCAACTTAAGAGAAATGACTAAAGTAATTGGAAATTGCAAAGCGCTTCGTTAAACTCAGTGGTCTTTCCTGCTTGATAGACCTGAACTATAAAACGCAAATATTTTGTCCACTACAAGGCAAATTCTTGTCCAGTCGAGAGTAAAAGTGTACTTTGGAAAAGTGAATAGTGAATTTGATCCAAAAATACGTCATTGGTCCTATGATTTCAAAATAAATCTTATGTTCTTTACCTAGATACCTTTTGGTTAAGTTATTGAAGAGGTATTTTGTCGTGTTAATAATTGCAAAATATATGCCAAAAATGAGGGATTTAAAAATGCCCGTTTGTGGGTCAGAAGCGTTCAGATTCAAGATCAGTGACAATTGAATTCTGATTTAAAGTGAGAAATTGGTGATTTGAATATATTCGAAATATGTAATTTCAACTTAAAAAGTTGAAGAATTTAGACGTTGGTGCTATTACCAAATGGACCATTGAATTGCCACCAATTAAGTTTTCACCAAATCAATTTTGCTCTCATATGGAATTCTCTCTTTCTAGAAGTTCCTTCTTTACATAAATTAGAGCATGCAGTTATCATTTCTGACAACCTGGTATTATAACATAGAAGCAAATACCTGAATGTGGGTTCTTATGGATGACTATTCAATGTGTTAGTGGTGAGCACCGAGTTGTTAGGGTTATTGACGAGTCGAAATTAATTCACTTCATTAACTGTCATAAGATTCTTCCTAAAGCAACCATTGAAACTAAATGCATTATCAATTATTTAATTGGTCTCGCTGTGGTGTGGGATAAACTTACCTCCACGTGGTACACTCTGGGCAAAGCATACTCAAGCGGCAAAATTGTGACCTCAAACTACCACGATCCCACTGCATGTCATATTTGGCCTATTCCACAATACTCATCTCTTCTCCGCCTTTGTGTCTGCTTGTCTCTTTTACTTCACTAAATCACTCTTCCGTCGCACCTCTCGATGTTGCTACACTTTGATAGTCTTCTCCTCTGTGAAGACCGAAGTCAGCTAAAGGCTAATGATAACTATCAAAACGCCTGCCAGTTGTAATAAATAAATAAACAAACAAATAAATTTGGTCGAGTTGCTTAACTCTAGACACAGTCTACTTGTTTATTTTGAAGGGTTTTGATATGTGAGGTTTGTGTGTGTTGTTAAATCCGCAAACCGAATATCAATATGATGAAGGGTTTTTGGTGTTACGGAAGTCTTGGTTGTAATTGGAGAATTAAAGATAAGTAGAAAAATGTCAATTATTACAAGCAGAAGCACATTTACTGCGAACGACTAAATAGGAGCAAATAACACAGCAATTTAAATGTGATCCATCCATGCTGTCTACGTCTTAACATTCATGAGCGAAAAATATTGATAGAATCACGTCAGAAAATCAAAGTTGGGACTATTCTGGGATGGATTATAGAGATGCATATAACCTGAAGTGGTTTGACACTTTCAAAAATTTAATCTGATTATTTCGCACATGTCTTTCTTCGAGCCCATACTCTTGATTAGGTCGTAATGTGATGTGAGGCCTTCTTTTACTCCAGTCAGAAGAAGTGTGAGGTCTTAGTGGGAGGTGAGGCCTTCTTTAACTCCAGTTAGAATTCCACTTGGGTGAGGCCTTCTTTAACTCCAGTCAGAATTCCACTTGCAACTTGCCAGTATTTAGGTAGAAGATACAAGGTGTAACCTGAGAATTGGTAGTATTTCAGTTTGTCATCCGAAAGGTTTGCTTCCATAATTATGAAAATGTCTACATCATAGGTTTGTAGGATTTTCTGTACTTGGATCATTTTGTCCTGTGACATCCCTCCAGCATTCCACTGGAGGATCTGAAGACGTTGTGATTCGTCCTGACGAGGACGATTTCTCTTATAGCCTTGTTTCAAGCTAATCATAATAAATAGAAGTCAAATTAAATGTTAAGTGCCAGAATTTAATTCCGTACGAAGATACGTTGTCCAGGGTGCACCACGTGGAGGGTACGTTGTCCAGGGTGCACCACGTGGAGGTAAGTCTATCGTATTCTTAAGAATAATTGTTTAGAAAACCAGCAAGGGTTGAGCACCCCTCATGGGTAGATATACAAACTTATTTCATTAGAGTTTATAAGGAAGGTTTTCTTTTACAAATTAACAGCCCAATAACTAAATTGCAATTCTAGACAAATATTGAGAATCGTTTCCAATCCAGGCATGTGGCATGTCTTCAATGAGGGCAGACCACTTTCCTGAGCACTCCAATTTAGTGACCTTAAGCTCAATTTGGATCACAAACATATGCCGCTTATTAGTACAAAAGAAACTTTATGAGCCTTCGGTTTGTCAAATTTATTGAAATGCGAAAGCTTCTAAATGCTTTAATTTGAGCATTGTCATATTCTAACGTTTCGAAGAATCTTTCCAACTAGACATCTTAAGTGGAGTAGTGAGTCAAAAATTGCTCTCATAATACTTTTGAATATTTGGTTTGTCGGAAATATTCGTTGCACTGGGACACTTTAAGCTTTCCTTCTGCTACTTTACTTAATGATAAGATCAACTAAAAAACAAGTAGCCATTTTCTCCCAACACATCAAAGATGCCCTTGATGCAAGAAATTCCCTTACGGCTGTTTTCGTCGACTCCAAATCAGCATATGCCTTAGTATGGAAAGAGAAGCTAATTCTAAAATTGGCAAAGATTGGTATTAAGCATAACATGCTAAACTGGATCAAAGCATTCATTGGACAAAGATCGTGCAAAGTCAGATATGGAAATACTCTATCAAAATCCAATCTTTTACAAACAGGTCTTCCATAAGGAGCTGTCACAAGCTGCACTCTTTTCAATGTCTTCATCAATGATATGGCTGAACTGGCATAGACGGTCACGAACAACAATTGCTGACTTTATGCAGATGATCTTGTTCTATGGTATTCGCCCCTTTTAGACAATGAACTTCACACATTTCGGCTCAACTTTAACCAACATCCTGATAAACTTTGCACTGCTATCACGAATACTATGATCAGATGTGCAAAGAAAACTATTCCCCGAGGCAAGACTAAGCACTATCTACTGTTTTGGTCTAAACACCTTGAGGAACTGAAAAGAAAGAGGGACGCCGTTCGCAACACTGCTGATCAGACTGGAAGAACAGAAGACGTAAAAGCCTGGAGACGACAATCAGCTGTCCTAAGGCAAGCCAACTTACAAGCTAAACGCACTTCCTTCGACAAGTTGATCTCAAATATCAACTATCAAAGTGATAGCCAACGCACTTTCAAATCTCTGAGAAACCTGCAAGACAACAGAGAAAGACCCAAGAAAGAAGCAATATGCTTAAACAAAAACTGCTTACCACCGACTCCGAGATAGCTAACTACTTTGCGAGGTTCTATTCCCACAAGCAAAAGAAAACCATTTTGTCAGAAAATCATCAAGAGATTTAAAGACACAAGTAAGAAAGTTTGGTGAAATTAAGGAAGACGTAACAACACCAAATAATGTACTTACTGAACCATTCAGATCTTGCGAACTTAACGCTATGGTAAAACAGCTAAAGTGTAAAAAATCTCCTGGTGAAGACGGTATTCATCCGGAAATTCTAATTAGAATAAAACCGAATGCCAAGGAAAACATGCTGACGATTTTCAACAAAATCTAGGAGACCAGTCTCGTACTTGACCAATTGAAAGTTGCCATAGTAATAACAGTACTAAAAAAGGGCAAAGACCCTAGCAACTCTGACAACTATAGGCCTATCTCCCTCACAAGCGTGCTGGCTAAACTTATGGAAAGAATGGTTAACAGGAGGCCCACCTGGTTCCTTGAGACCAACAATATTCTTAGGAATGAACGAGTAGGTTTTAGGCCACAAAGATCAACGAACCAACAAGTAGCCACTTTCTCCCAACACATCAAAGATGCCCTTGATGCAAGAAATTCCCTTACGGCTGTTTTCGTCGACTCCAAATCAGCATATGCCTTAGTATGGAAAGAGTAGCTAATTCTACAATTGGCAAAGATTGGTATTAAGCATAACATGCTAAACTGAATCAAAGCATTCATTGGACAAAGATCGTGCAAAGTCAGATACGGAAATGCTCTATCAAAATCCAATCTTTTACAAACAGTTCTTCCACAGGGAGCTGTCACAAGCTGCACTCTTTTCAATGTCTTCATCAATGACATAGCCGAATTGGTACAGACAGTCACGGGCATCAAGTGCTTACTTTATGCAGATGATTTTGTTCTATGGTATTCCGCCCCTAAGAAAAACGCTCAGGAGAGGACAGAAAGAGCTCTTAATTGAGCAAACTGATGCGACAACAATGGAATGGTAATTAACACCGCAAAACTGCATTCTAAGCTTTTTCTTTGACCCATCACAGCATAAACCCGCTTTTAAGGTACAAGGATACTACCATAGAAAAAACCAATGTGTACACTTATCTCGGAACGACTTTTGACACAAAGCTAACGTGGAAAAGTCACATTGCTAAAATAGCAGAACGAGTCTCCAATAGACTGAATGTACTGAAGCGTCTTGCTGGTAGCGTATGGGGCTGTGCACGCTCAACTCTCAACACCACTTACAAGATATTTATTCAGCCAATAATGTTGTATTGCTGTGAGCCACTCATTACAGCCACAGAGGTGACTCTCAAACCAATCGAGAAGGCACACAACCAAGCATCATGACTTATTGCTGGTCGGATAAAATAAACACCCATTGATGCAATGCTTCTAGTTACAGGAAGCACCACAATATGTTCCCTTATCAAAGAGAAGGTCTTGATCCTGTATGAGAAGCTACTGCGCACTCCCATGGACAAGTTATCCACCACCTATGAGAATAGACCAAGACATCTGAAAACGCAATCTGGTCTAATACAGAAAGCCATAGAACTGTTGAAAGCATTCCAAATCGATGACAAACCAAAAAGCCTCTCTCTCCCCATGCACCCATTAGCAGACACTGATGTAATGTGTTGCATCCAACTGCTGGACTTCTTCAGGAGCAGAGCAAATGCGCTCACTGGCCCTTGGGACAATCAATGTCAACTATCCTGGAGATCAATGGCTTTAAGTTTTCACTGGTGGGTCATATATAGAAAACCAACCAAACGTTGGTGCAGGTGTCTATTCTGAACTCTTCTCTTTCTACGCAGCAGCGGGATGCCAAAGATCCGCTTTCGAAGGAGAAATAGATACCATTAGGATAGCACTATGCCAATTATGTTGCCTGGATACGAAATTCACCAATGCGGTGATACTTTCGGACTCACAGTCAGCAATAGACTCTATTGAAAACAGAGAGACACCCAAAACAGCTGAGATAAACGAATGTAGAAAACTCTATCAGCTGCTGACAGATAAAAACAAAACAGTGGTCCTACAATGGATTCCTGGTCACTGTGGCATTAAAGGCAATGAGCTTGCTGACACACTTGCTAAGAAGGGGACACCGATATTGCAATGCATGGACCGCCCGATGTCTTTCCACACAATGAAGGCCTTAATCAGGAGAGAATTCTAGACCTCAAGGTACAACGAACTCAAAACTCGAACAAAGGAGAAACAGTGGACAGTGGTATTCTCCGACACAGTCGACTGGCCAAGAATTGATGCCGTTGCTGTGTTTAGACTACGTACCGGATATGATTGCTTGGCAAAACACCTTCACAGATTGGGAATATACACTGGCGAAGCACCTTCACAGATTAGGAGTATACAATCAAAACACCTTCACAGATTGAGAGTATACACTCAACCCACATATACTCTATGTAACCTACAGGAGGAAATGGAGAAGTCCCACCTGTCTATGTGACCTACAGGAGGAAACGGAGAAGACCCACCATATGTAACCTACATGAGGAAATGGAGAAGACCCATCTGATCTGTAACCTACAGGAGGAAATGGAGAAGACCCACCTGATGTGAAACCTACAGGAGGAAATGGAGAAGACCCATCTGATTCTCTACAGGAGAAAATGGAGAAGACCCACCTGATTCGGTGTTCAAAGGAGGAAATGGAGAAGACCCACCTGATTCGGTGTCTAGCGATCAACCCACATGCCCTCTATGTAACCTACAGGAGGAAATCTGGCGAAGCACCTTCACAGATTAGGAGTATACAATCAAAACACCTTCACAGATTGAGAGTATACACTCAACCCACATATACTCTATGTAACCTACAGGAGGAAATGGAGAAGTCCCACCTGTTCTATCTAACCTACAGGAGGAAATGGAGAAGACCTACCTGATTCGGTGTCCGGCCCTGAAGACAACATCGGAAAACCGGAGATACTGGTTAGCAAGAAGACGGCTAATTAACTGCCATTAATTAACTGCTATATACGTACCCCCCCCCCACATATGGGGGAAGCTGAAGTCAAAGTTTACGGGCTAATGATAAATATCATAAATCCTGCCATTTGGAATAAGTAAATAAATAAATGTTCCTCCTCCTCTCTGTGAACCCTAAAGTCAGCTAATGGGTTAGTGCTAACTAACATTTATTTATTTATATCAAAGGTCATCGTTAGCCCTTTAGTTGATTTCAGGCTTTACAGAGGGGAAGGAACATCAAATTGATAAAAGTCGAGAGGGGGGAACAGAAGAGTGTTTCAAAGATGTAAGAGACAAACACAAAGGTAGAACAAAGGTGAGGTGAGTACTGTAAAATAGTCGAATATGACATACAGTGGGATGAAATAAATATTTGCAAGCGTCTACCAACTTCTGTCTGGCAAAAACGCAAACGGTATCATGCGGATGATTGTAAAGTTTTTGGTCATTATTCCTTTTTTGTGACGCAAACTATTAAGCAAAGGAACTGCATTTGGTGAAGGAAGCGGTATAATAAAGAGCAAGTGGAAACAATTCGAATAGAAGAGGAGAATATAGGCAAGATGCTAAGACCAGTATCTCGTTTGAACTTCTAAATTTCCATATTATCTACATTTTATCTTTAATAAATAAAACAAATTGCCTCGTGTTTAAGTGTGCCCTGGAGGTGACAGAGTCTGTGTCCAGGGCTTTTGAATATGCTCATTTTCTCTTTGTTCAAAGCTTACATGAAGGTTGATTTGATTGAACCTTCAATCATGTAATTTATATATCTGTGTAATTTCCCTACCCATTGGGGAAACTCTAAAGAATGTATTAAAATTGCAATTAATATCACCGGATTTCTGTCTTGGTTCAACTTTACAATTCTAGGGAAAATTTGATAGATGCAAAAAATATTTATTTATTTCGAATGGCAGGCGTTTTGATAGATATCATTAGCCATTTAGCTGACTTCGGGCTTCACAGAGAGAAGGTTCATCAAAGTAGCAGAAAGTCGAGGGGTGGGGAACAGAAGAGCGATTCACAGATGTAAAGAGGCAGACAGACACAAAGGTAGAGAAAAAGGTGAGGTGTGTACTGTGGAAGTAGTCGAATATAACATACAGTTGGGTGATGGTAGTTCGAAGTGAGAAGTCAACTGCCAATTAATAGACTTTTTGTCGTATGAGTATACGTTGCCCAGGGTGCATCACGTGGCACTCACACGGCAAATATGGACAACGCGAAATTTCAAGAAGTTTTAAAACTAAAATTGAAAAAAAGAATGCATTAAACTTTAGTTGGATTAATTTGACGGCGGTAAATTCCGTCTCTTAATTGCAGTCAAACGAGTTCCTTCTTTAAAATATGGTGGGAGGAATTTAACCATGACAAGTTAATTTTAAGAACATCGCTTTAGTTTTTTGCCAACTTGTGCATGTTTACATTTGATTAATGATATATATGATATGTATAGATATTTCATTTATCAAAATTGATTTCATCAATTAACCTGGGATGTTATATTACCATGAAAACAGCTCTCCAAAACTTATTGGCTGTCGAGAAATTTTCAACTTTATTTCAAATTTGTAACTTTTTGGATAATGAACAAAATAAAATAGTTAAAATAAACAGCTTGATGTTGTAATATGAAAAGTTATTTTAGTTTTTATTGGCATTATTAATTAAATATTTAAAATCTTTTTTTAATGTTTATATATAGTGAACCAAGGAGCGCCCATGGGCCATGAAGTGGCCTCATCGACACATTCAGGTGAATCCTCCTCAGACCAATTTTCTTCTCGACTGGGAAGTGGAAATAACAGAGATCCCCCATCAACCATTTACGGTTTTGCTGGACAGTCCACTTGAAACCCCGACTCCACCTTTAACCTCATCACCTCCTTCCACCCCCCTCCCCCCCCACCACCACCACCCTATGCCTTTCTCTTTCCATTCAACCATTGAAATCCCGGTCTCAAGGAGTTACGTCCTGTAAAAGATGTCCCCACTTCTCCTCCTCCCAACCCCGCCCCCCCTCCCCCTCCCCCCCGCCCTCGCTCCGATCCCTCTGTACACAGAATATGTCCAACCTCGAACAATATATTTCTCATTCTCCTCCACTCCCATTGTGTTACGCTATTGTGCTCCCAAACTTATGTGCGAATACTGCTCTCTCACTCACTCTCTCTCTCTATCTTATTATTATTAAAATTATTCTATTAACTACGAATGCATTGTCCTCCTTGTGTGCAATAAGTTTCGGTGAGAGAGTAATTTATCATCTGGTGGAATGGTGGTGGACAGTGTTTTCTCTCATCCTGATTCTACAAAGATAGGTGCGTGCACACACACGCTTTCTGAATGTGACATTCTTGACGTCAGATAAGTAAACTGCTTGATGTTTCGTAACAAATGGCCATTCCCCTTAGATAAACAATCTCACTTGATATAATTATTTTTTTTGGTTTTGTGAAAGATCGCTCAGTTTTGTCACATTGGTTGACTTGCATAGGAGGGGCTTTACCTCTAATTAACTTAATTGGAATAATGAATTCGTTATTGTGTTAGCCTTGGGGATTCAGTGTGTTATAAATAAGTTTATTGTTGATAAATATATTAGTGAAAAAGAGGTCTGGGTCTGTACTGGAGTTAGGATGCATTGAAAGGAATTAATAATTTATTTATATCAAATGCCAGGCGTTTTGCTAGGTATCATTAGCCCATTAGTTGACTACGAGCTTCATAGAGGGGAGGAGGAACATCAAAGTGAAAAAAAGTCGATAGGGAGGAACGGAAGAGTGGTTTAAAGATGTAAAAGAGACAGACACAAAGGTAGAGAAAAAGGTAAAATGAGTACTATGGAAGTGGTCGAAAATGACATACAGTGGGGTCATGGTAGTTTGAAGTCAGAAGTCAACTGCCGGTTAGTAGACTTTTTGCCGTATGAGTATACGTTGCCCAGGGTGCACCACGTGGAGGTAAGTCTATCGCACACCCCACGAATTAATTAAAAGTAACAAAAAGTCAAGCGCTAGAATAGGACAGCGTCTTCGATCAAAATGAAATCAAAATCATTTTCCCTCACTAATGCGTAATTAGAAACATATTTTGCCTGTCAATATGTGTTCCTTGACAAATTCCAAATTGAAGGGATGGAGATTGATTCATTTCCACGACAGAGTTGAACAAACCTCATAAACCTTCAGCACAGAGAAACAGCCAGAGCACATAAGAGGTGAAAATTCACAAAGAGACCGTATGTCTACATATTTAAAACGGAATTGCAGAGCAGTGGATTGGCAGAATTCTAATTCTCCTGAATTACAATCATCTTGCACTTTGTAAGGAAGATCAGAGGTTATGGCGGTTGATATGGTGATCGTCTCATTTTTGTCTGTAAAGGGTCGATGAATTCAACAATTTAAACGCATTTATTTATTTCAAATGGCAAGCGATTTTGATTGTTATCATTAGCCCTTTAGCTGACTTCGGATTTTACAGAGGAAAGGAACATCATAGTGAGAAACATTCAAAAGGGGGGTAAGAAGAGTGATTCACAGATGTAAAGAGACAGACAGACACAAATGCAGAGAAAAGGTAAGATGAGTACTGTTGAAGTGGTCGAATTCGGCATACATTGGGGTCATGGTAGTTTGAAGTCAGAATTTAACTGTCGAATAATAGAATTTTTGCCGCATGAGTATACATTGCCCAGGATGCACCACGTGGAAGTAAGTCTATCGTGCACCCCACAATTTAAACGTAATTTTTCTTTCACCCGCAGCTTGCGGTTGCGGGTATTATTCCAAGTTCTAGGAATAGAATTCTCCTTACGATTCATCATCCGAATTTTTATACATTCTTTCATCCACAATATCTATTTTTCATTCACTTGAAATAAAATAGGGTTTAGAAGCATCTACATTTGATCAGCCTTTTCGCAAGTAGGCCACTATCTCTGTGATAACCTACTCATCGATTAAAACCTTCTCTTTGAAGGTATGTACAAGATATCTCTATTCCTGAACATTTCAAATTCATTCCTCTAGAAGCGTGCTGACCAAATGCTACTCTATTATCATCAACCATACAATGGGTGACCTCTGGATAAACCGCAGAAAGGACCAGTTCGAATGGAGCATATACATGTTGCTTTATAATTTACATTTAATTACAACTTACTGATTTACTCAGGGTACGAAATGGAGATTGTATAACTGATTTTCAGATCTCAAGTTTTTATTAATAGCATTTTTCATCTAATATCTTCTTGGATCGTTTGAAGGTTGTTAGAAGTTAATTATACTATCTATCAAATTTTAGGAGCAAATATTTGTAACTAAACTCAGTATCCGAGGCCCATATTTATTAACCAAATTCTAAACTGTTAAATATATTCGATTGACCATTCGCCTGGAATTGACCGACTTTCAAAAGCTCAATTTTAGCTCCATCCCACCAGACAGTGATTTTTTAATGATATTGCAACTAAATGTACTTTCACATTAAAAAAGGGGTTGCGCGATAGACTTACCTCCACGTGGTACACCCTGGGCAACGTATACACATGCGGCAAAAGGTCTGTTATTCGGCAGTTGACTTCTGACTTCAAACTACCATGACCCGACTGTATGTCATATTTGACCACTTCGCAGTACTCACCTTATCCTACTCTCTACCTTTGTGTCTGTCGCTCTATTTTACATATGTGAATCACGCTTCTTTCGACTTTTTGTCACTTTGATGTTCCTTCTCCTCTGTGAAGCTCGAAGTCAACTAAAGGGCTAATGATAGCTATCAAGAAGCCTGCCATTTAATATAAGTAAATATTCTATAACACGAATCATCACTATTATTATTATTATTAACTCAACTATTTCTATATCGATTTAAGAAAATTTGACTATCCACAACAAACAATTCGAAATTTTATTATCAAGTATTACTTTTGCCTTTTCAAATTTTTCGTCGAGGTTTAAACAGCCATCTCGCAAAATGTTGAAATGTGAATAGGAAAAACGCTAATAATGACGGATAGACAATTGAATCTTCGGCGTCTTCTTAATTGGCTGCGGAAACTTTTTGAGAAAATTTGGACTGTGTTCTCTATTTCCAATTGAACTGGGGTGTGCGATAGACTTACCTCCACGTGGTGCACCCTGGGCAACGTATATTCATACGGCAAAAAAAGTCTATTAACTGGCAGTTGACTTCTCACTTCAACCTATCATCACCTCACTCTATGCCATATTCGAATATTTCCACAGTACTCACCTCACCTTTTTTTCTACCCTTGTGTTTGTCTCTTACATCTTTGAAACACTCTTCTGTTCCCCACCCCTCTCGACTTTTTTCAATTTGATGTTCCTTCCCCTCTGTGAAGCCTGAAGTCAACTAAAGTGCTAATGGTAACCATCAAGACGCCTGCAATTTGATATAAATAAATATATACAATTGAATAGCATTCCAATATTATTTATTTATTTATCATATAATTCATCATGAATTCTTGCCAATAAATAATCTTTAGTTTATTTATTTATTTTAGTTTATTTTCCTCTGCCCTCATCTTTAGTACTTGGCCTCTGAGCTCTAGCTGAATTGTAAGTTGTTTTACTAATATGAGAGGTATACTAGAACACCACTTAATAAATTCTTATTGAAAAAATACGCTGTAATGGTTATAAAAACAGTCAACAAAATGGCTATCTAAACTGCGAAAAGAAGTCGTGGAAGGCATCTCAAAATTCGTAATCATTACAAGCGCACATTCCTCAAGTATCATTTTAATGGCCTTCTCTCTCTCTCTCCTCATAGCGATCAGCCCTGTAATATATTGCATCGCATAAGTGTTGTGTTCCTACTGCAATCGCTTCTGGAATAAGCGCACCGATTTTGTGAAGAATCAATTGACTGTCTCTCCCTGGTTTCATCAAAGGCATGTGAAAATACAGCAATCTTGAAATTAGTGCACTTTCTAAAGTGCACCTCATGACAGTTGCTTCAGCATTAAATATTGTAAATATTCGAATTAATAGCACCAGTAATACAAACGAATTCGAGCTTGGTTGCTTTTATTTCGAAGCATTTTTCTACAATTTGAATGCCTAATCTACTGAAAGCTTTTTGTGCAGTAATGGCAGTGAAATGAAATACATATACATATATAGAGGGCGTAGAAATTTTAATCAACCTTTTAGAATTGGCAGATACTTGCCAAAGCTATAAGCAAGCTATCCCGATTCGCGTTATCTAACCCTTCCAATAATTCAAAATATTTATAATTTATAAACCCGAACAAGAATCTGGATTGGAGAAGGGGGAGGGGGAGGCGGNATTTCCATATTATCTACATTTTATCTTTAATAAATAAAACAAATTGCCTCGTGTTTAAGTGTGCCCTGGAGGTGACAGAGTCTGTGTCCAGGGCTTTTGAATATGCTCATTTTCTCTTTGTTCAAAGCTTACATGAAGGTTGATTTGATTGAACCTTCAATCATGTAATTTATATATCTGTGTAATTTCCCTACCCATTGGGGAAACTCTAAAGAATGTATTAAAATTGCAATTAATATCACCGGATTTCTGTCTTGGTTCAACTTTACAATTCTAGGGAAAATTTGATAGATGCAAAAAATATTTATTTATTTCGAATGGCAGGCGTTTTGATAGATATCATTAGCCATTTAGCTGACTTCGGGCTTCACAGAGAGAAGGTTCATCAAAGTAGCAGAAAGTCGAGGGGTGGGGAACAGAAGAGCGATTCACAGATGTAAAGAGGCAGACAGACACAAAGGTAGAGAAAAAGGTGAGGTGAGTACTGTAAAGGGGTCGAATATGACAACCAGGGGGTCGTGGTAGTTTGAAGTCAGAAGTCAGCTGCCGGTTAATAGACTTTTTTGCCGTATGAGTATACGTTGCCCAGAGTGCACCACGTGGAGGTAAGTCTATTGCGCACCCTATGCAAAAAATATAAATATCAAATAACGATTAGTCCATTTGTTTAATGATAGAGTAATAGTATGCGCCGCTTTTAAATTGCGACGCAACAAAGTGGAGGGTCGATGAGAATTCTGGATTGCCATTTCTGCGTTCGCCAATCTTTTACAGCTTTGATTTGGTCATGTATGTTATAATAGTGAGAAAATCAGTAAATCAGTAGGACATACGTACGTTTTGAAAAGCCCATACCTAGAAGGGCTGTTGTTGGCAGCTTATAGTTTAACCAAGTTACGTTAAATACCCAGCTCTAAACTATTGATCGTCCTAAAGACTGACATAATACGATAGCGTTCTCAAATAAGACCCCTGAGTGTTGCGTAGCTTGTATGGGTGCAAATTGACGTCAATGAAAATAAATGGAGTTGGGTGAATTGAGGATTGGAGAAGATGGGAACAAGTGTAAGTGTTGCACGGGGAAATTGAAGGTGTCAGTGAAATCATTGTGGGCAAATTGCTATTTCCTTTAGCCTCTGTATGGATTGATAAGCCTCTAATATTACTTCATACTCTAAAATCCCTCGTGATCCTACAAATAAGACGTTCCATTATAAATACTTAATGCGATCATGTTTCTTACAATACTCTTTGTTCAGCAGATGATCAATCAATGTAAAACATCATCTATCAATTAGGACCACCTGTAGAAATGAGCAATGATAGGATGTTGTAACTAAGTTTAAACAAGTCTTATTGTAAGATATTGGTAAATATCAAATCAAATGATATTTACCAATGACAAATTCATAACTTTATTCGTTTAACTACTTTTATTAACATAACTCACTTTGTCTCAAACATTTTAAAAAAGTTCAAATTTTTCACTTTTAATTTTTTCCCCTTACTGAGTGCCGAACTCGATGAGTATATTTCGGTTGCATTATATAGGCAACTTGGCACTTGATCCTCGGTTTCCAGATACTATCCTTTCCAAAGTCCCAGACATCTATCGACCAAAAGTGATTGAATTTCCAAAGGATCGAGACGAAATTAAAATAGGTCGAGTAGATAGCGATTCATTGAATGACTTTAACTTGGAAAGTTGCATTTATCGGCCACTTATAACTCCTCACCACGCATCAATTAAGCGCACTCAAGAAGGGGAATATGAATTGCACGATTACAGCTTGAACGGAACTTTTGTCAATTATATACGCGTTGGTGAAGCAGTTACTCTTAAAAGAAATGATATTATCTGTTTCGGCTGTTACGATAGTTTTGGAAAAAAGCCAGGCGAGAAAGTAACGAATTTCCCTTGGGATCAGAAATACGTGGTCAGTGATTAATCATGCTTTGATTATTATTTATATAGTGTTTTGTTTAGCTTCTAATGACTTGTTTTTTTTTCTTCAAAAAAAGGTTTACCTGGGTCCACCTGAAGATGATCCCTTTATGAAACCTGAAAACAATTTCTCATGACATGGAAATAAGAAGTATTATGACATAATTATTTAAATGATTGTTAAAAGCGTGCAAACATAAAAATATTTTGTCGAGTGGTGATTGAGAATGAAGTTTTATCTTCGGATGAGTGGGAAAAGCGGCTTTGATTTTTCATTTGATTAACACTTCGATAGCCACAACGAAGACATGACCAGTTCACCCTCTTCGGGTATTTATCTGCTTGATTGATTAAACTAGTGTCAGAATTAGAAATTTCATTCACCAATTTGAAACCTATCCTTGGTTAGGTTTAAGATCTCTGCAATTTAGTCACTGCGTGACGTTGTGGATATTTACGTTTGTGCATAGGATTTTGAACTCAGTTTTTTGAAATGTCATTCGTAATAAACCTTTCTGTGGTAAAGTAGGAGTGACTATGCATCAAACGAATATAGTGCAACACCGAAATATATAATCATGGACACAACCCACTATGAGTGACAGTCCATTATTGAATGAAGTTTATAACTGACCAATAGGATCAATATGACTCATTACGATGACGCATAAGGGATTAGGTGATGGGGAGAAGAATGACGAGTGCATAATATGTACAATCATGTAGCGAAAGAAGAGTAACCGGATAGGATGAATAAAATTAGCTAATCGATAACTCGAATCCATTAACCGATGCTTTCGTTCGATTGACTGTGATAAGTTTCACCGTTCGTAGGCTGGTTTTACAGTTTGAGGGAATTTGAATGACTTTGTAATAGGTAAATTTTCATTCACATTCGGTCTTCACACATCTATTTATTTTAAATCATGTGGGGGATATAGATAGGAGAATAAGGTAAGTAATTTTGAATCCTGATAGGTTATCGCTTCCTGAGTCATCGTATGCCTGCATGACAGGATTGGGAGGTGCGGCATACAACTCTGTGTGCACCGACCGCACAAACAGTGGCCAATCAGTAGCCTCCGTTTGTTTAACCTAATCCGCCATCCTGAACATGATTAAGCTCCCCGCGTGTACATTTTGCTCACAATGTACGTATTGAATAAGCGTGCTCCGTGCTACACGCCTGTTTCCTTTATAGCTGTGCTATAGCTTAGCTGGTTCTGGGTGTCTAGCTATATGTAGGAGAATCTGCCACAGATTTCTGAGTCAGTCAGGCTTTAATAGCGTAGCAATCCGCTACAATACCATGGATACAGAACTCTGCAAGACATTATAATTGCCTTGC